ATTCACAAATAGGCAAATAAGTTTGATTTTAGTTCAATTTTTTAATGCTTGATTTAATTATATTTAGAATAAAATTAATATATATATATATATATATATATGAAAGCATGCCTCCAAATATAAAAATTTCTTAATTACTATATATTCTTTGTTTGATTTGATTAATTGGTCATCGTTCTTGGGTTAGTTTTCTCAATTTAATTGTCGAGTTATATGAAAAATATTTTCAAAGCAAAAGTTTCAATTTTCATTCTATGAGTTTGTTTTTTTCAAAAGTCATTAAATGATACTGCTCAAATTATACTCCAATATATAAATTAATGTTGTATCATTAAGATGAGAAAAATTACATATTACCTAGAATCATTAAAAATTATGCATCAAAAAAAATTGTTCGTGAAATAAGTTGTAATTATACAAAGCAAAATGAAGGCTAATATAAAGAAAAATTTAAAAAGAAAGAAGATAAAGAGATTTAGCAACAAATAACAGGAAGAAAAAAGAGGGGAAAAAGAAAAGAAAAGGAAGAAGAGGTGAGGCCCAAGGCCCAATGAAATAGGGATTAAAAGTAGGAAAAAGATAAAAGGAAGGGAAAGATGGCGCTGTCGGAAATCGAACTCGAGTTGCAGAGGCAAATGAGAAACCTCAGTGGCAATGCTGAACTATGCCACCCACACAATGTTTGTGTAATCCGAGTGCGACTTTATCAATATAACCGCTTTTGCACAGATATCAACATGCTTGCTAAGAATTTTTGCCGAACTATATATGCGAGTGACGTACCACCCCTACGCTATAAGGTAGATCCGCCCCTGTACGGAACACTTTTCCCCGAATGGGGCGCTACCCGGCGCGAATTCTGATATAATCGGGCTTCAATACATGTAAACGTGTGAAGTACTTAAATGTAAAGCTTACCACCAAAGGATGTGGTGCAGCGGATGTGGCTGCTCCTTCCTTAACCAGAGGTCTCAGGTTCAAACCCTGGGTATGGAAAAATCTTTGGTAGGAAGCGCCTCCCCCCGAATGGGATCCTACCCGGCGTGAATCCAGATATAGTTGGACTCCAATGTTGGTATCGAATACCGGGTGGGGAACTAAAAAAAATAAAAAGCTGAAGGACAATTTGTATGATTTTATTCTTTTAATAAAAGCAAGAGATAATTAATATAGCACGTAGGACAAAGATTAATTAAAGAGGTGTTCAACTCTCAACTCTACGACTTGACGTACGTATCACAACAAATCGACGTACATTTAATTTTTGTGCTCATCAACACGATATTTAAGACCAATATATGAATTCCAACAAAAACTAGCTAGGCTATATATTTTTATTTTTATTTTACTTTTTCTGGGATGAGATGAGAATTGCTTTATACTCGAGTGTTTGAGAAAATCGATATTTGATCCAAATTTAAAGGGGATAAATAATCTTATTAGCTGGACAGCTATATGTCTCAAGTTTTGGTTGAAATGGGTTGGAGATTAAAGAGTCGAAGTAACTTTTGGGAAATGTCACATGCTCTCTTGTTATTTAGACTTGTAACTCTACTTAATAGTGTTAGATTAATGACGGCAACAACTGCCCAGTGGTGTCCCCCAAGTGGATTTGGGAAGGATAGTGTGTACGCATACTTTATCTCTACCTTGAGAGGGTAGATAGGTTGTTTCCGATAGACCATCAGCTAAGGAGGGAAGAAAGAAATAATAAAAACAGGTATTACCAACACCAAGTGCCAGAAAGATAATCACAACAAACTACGAGCCAAAAAATAGATGGAAGAGGGCAGTAGCATCGAGCATCAACCACATCGAGAAACTAACAAACCAACGCAGATGGTAATGGGAAAACATATAAAATTAGCAATCTAAGAGTAAGAAAACACTATCAAACTACCCGAATTCCCATGTATGGATCTAGAAGTTGCGTTCGACTACCTACTAACCTTCTTTCCTTATTATCGACCTTCACACCCTCCTGTCAAGTATCATGTCCTCGACAAGCTGAAACTGCGTCATGTCCTGCCTCACACCTCCCCCTAATATTTCATTGGCCTCCCTCTAGCTCTTCTCATATCCACCAAAGTCAACCGCTCACACCTGCGTACTGTAGCATCTGGACTTCTGCTCTTCACATGCTCGAACCATCAATAGTGCTGATTAATGGAAGAATTTATATATTCGGAAACATAGGTGAAAAAAGGTTGTATAATTTGTATTAAAGTAATATAAAAATAAGAGTTTAACTTATATATACTAACATATTAAAAAAATATTGTTAGGCCACCTAATTAAAATATAATTACATCCAATCGTCCATATATATAATAATATTTAATAAAATAAAAATAAACTAATAAGATAATTTATCTAATGCATGCAACATGTAAATATACACATGCATAGTTGATTGGAGACAAGAAGTTAGCTTCCACAAGATCATAGTCGAATTCCCATGTTATGTATCTAGAGCAAGAAAGAAACGGGATTGTTACGCAAATAATTGGTCACATTTAATATTTACTTTTTTTAATCCGTATATATATATAGATATAATATGTCGATGATTTTTAGTTTAAGATATGCATAGATTATATATTGATTACATATATTATATATCTGCAGGCTATTTTTAGTTTATGAGATTAGGTGGACGGCTATTTGGGTTAATTCTTAAAAAAAAAAAGAGCAACCAATATTACAATTTTACTATATATATGGCAGAAAGATTTTTCCTATTTATAATCTTGCAGGTTACTTGTATGGTATACTTGAACACCACACTTAGTCAAAAATGGACCTCTTCCTCCTCTCTATTGCAATCACACTTGCTATAATCATCAATTTTTTGTTCAAATATTCCCTTGCTAAGCCTAAAGAAAAACTCCCTTTAGCTCCAGGGACTTATGGTTGGCCAATTATTGGAGAAACGATAGAGTTCCTTGTATCACTTCGTTATGGTTTGGTCATACAAATCCAATGTCTTCAAAACCTCATTACTTGGCCAAAATGTAGCTATATTTTCAGGTCAAGAAGCCAATAAATTCATATTCAACAATAGCAACAAGAAGAGTAGAGTTACAAGAAAATCCAGATCTTCCAAAGGTTGATGTGTTAACACAAGTGATCACTGAACAAGACGAAGATGGCAAGTACTTGACAGAAGTTGAAATGGCTGATAAATTATTTGGCTTTATAGTTGGTGGTTACGATACTACTGCTACAACTATAACTTTGGTCATGAAGTATCTTAAAGAGAAGCCTGAGTTCTTCAATGAAATAATGGAAGGTATTTCTTTCTCTTCAAATTAAATTGCACGATCTATATGTTACGGATTCGAGTCGTGGAATTAGCTATTAATGCTTGCATTATGATAGGATGTCTATATAACATTCCTTAGGGTGTGACCCTTCCCCAAACCCTGCGTGAATACGAGATACTTTGTGTATGAGGCTGCCATTTTTTAGTTAAGCAAAAATACAAGATTTTTGAGCTAAAACAAAAATACCGGGCCTATTACATGTCATTATTTTATTTTCAATCTATCATATAAAGTTTGTCATGAAAATTTATGTGTTGTTGTAAGTCAACTAACTAACCAAATGGTGTAAAGAATTTATGCATAGTAGTTTGTTATAGCATACAACCTGCCTTACTTTTAATATCACAATCTTACTTTTAGATGATTATTTTTAGTAGTTATTTTTTTTTATGAAACTGATAGTGTAAATTTTTTTATACATTGTCCGTGTATATATACAAGTTAAGCTCTTCCACTTATGTATTATGGATAATTACCTACAATTAATTATCTTCTAAATAGCCTGATAATATAAAAATCTCTAGTACATAAGTTAAACTCCAATCTTAATTCTGCCAAAACTAAATTCAATCCCTCACAAAAAATATTGAGGAATTAGCCTAAATAGCCGTCAATCCTATTGCTTAAATTAAATTTAGGCAGTGAATGCATAATATATATATATATATATATATATATATATATATATATAATTTATGTATAATTATTTATAATATATGTTTAATGATTAGGAAAAATAAACGGGGAAGCCAAACGGTTATTAGGGTAAAAATCCCAACAATGTAGCCAAAATAAAACATTGACCTTTTTTATCCAAACGTCTCTAAGTGTTTGTGTTCTAGAAATGAAGTTCTACAAAACATTATCTAAATTTTACCGAAACGATTGGTTCTCTTTATTAGAGGCAGAACTAGGATTTGAAGTTTATATGTTCATGTCACAATCTCAAATTAAAATACAATAATAACTGAGTTCACAATTAGATATTTATAGATATTTAGTAGATTTTTTTTAATAAAAATAAAGTTACTGGGTTTCCCGGGAACCCATATATTGTACTCTAGATCCGCCACTGCTCTTTATCACAGCATGAAATGGGGATTCTTTGCATGAATATTCTTAAAATTTTCTGACTTTTTTGCAAATTCGGATCTAAAATGACAGAGCAAAATGAGATTTCAAGGAATATGATGCCAAGGATAGTGCTATGTTGGGATGACATTCAGAAAATGAGGAAAACTTGGAGCTTTGTGAATGAAGTATTAAGAGACACACCAGTTGTTCAAGGCCTTTTCAGAGAAGCCATAGAGGACATCACTTATAATGACTTCCTCATACCAAAAGGATGGAAGGTACGTACTCCTCGACCTTTTAAGATGTCTGAAAGTAATTAAGTGGAAATTCTGAGGGCGTAGAAGCTGAGAATTAGGGTAGATGGTTAGTAGGTAGTCGAGTGTTTTTCTTTTTCCATACCATCAATATTAGTGTTAGTCTTGTATTCTATTATTTCCTTTTCGCTGTTACTTGAGCCGAGGGTCTATTGGAAACAGCCTCTCTAGCTTCACAACCCAGACCCCACTTGTGAGATTACATTAGGTTTGTTGTTGTTGTAGTTGTATTCTATTATTCTTAGATTTCTATTACTAAATGTTGTTTCTTTCGCTTCGTTTTCTTATTATTTTGTTGTTGTTACTGCTCTGCTTTCTTTTCATCTCTCCTTGAGCCGAAGGTATATCAGAAACAGTCTCTCTACCTTCTCAAGGTAGGGATAAAGTGTGTGCACTCACTAGCCTCCCCAAACCACGCTTGTGACATTATATTGGGCTTTTTGTTATTGTTGTTATTGTTTCGATTAAATTTTTGTTCTTTTTATATATTGCTCCATCGTCCCAAAATCTTAAGAATAATGGATATTGTATCTAATTTAACTTCAAAAATTAGCTTTACGGGGTGAAAATTATCCAAAATCAAATGAATAGACTACACTTCATTCCCTCAATCAATACAGAAACAATAAATTGTTAACCACTTGGAAAATAATTTCTGCATTAATAATTTAAAGAACTTAAACTCTACCATTAATCTTGTAGCCTTTAACTTGATTCCTAATTGACAAATTAGTCATTACACTCATTGTGATGAGTATAATATACTACTAGGATTTTAATTCTATGTACTAACAAGGTCATTTAATATATAAGTAATACATAAAATAGGCATTGTTTAATAACCTAAATTAAATGGTAAGTAACCTGCAGGTTAAATCATGGTATTCTTTACACTTTCAGTGTATATAACTAAGGGGTCATTTGGTTTGAAGAAAAGTTATGCTGAGATTAATTATACTTGAATTAGTTATATTGGTATTATTTCTTATTAACTGTTTGGTATGTCGTATTGATCATTAGATTGTCAATTTTACTGTTATATCTTGGGATAACTTATCCTGGATTATTATTCCACCCTCTGACATGTATAAGTTATCCCGGTACTATTATTACTTATTCCAAGATTAGTAACCAAACAAGGGATAAGGCGGTACTAACTTTTTATCCCATGATTATTTTTGCTTATCATCGTAACAAACAACCCCTTAAAGTTTTAATAATCCCATTTCAGTAACTCTTCTTTTTTTGCTATTGACTTTCTTAGCATTCTTTGCTTCTAAGTATGCTATCAAAATTTGCAGATATATTTGAGTTTTGGAGCTACACAGAAAAATGGTGAATATTTTCCAAACCCTACAAAGTTTGATCCTTGTAGATTTGAAGGAAATGGACAGTTAGTTCCTTATACATCAGCTCCATTTGGTGGAGGACACAAAATATGTCCAGGAAGAGAATTTGCAAGAATATTAATTCTTGTTTTCCTTCATAATGTACTGAAAAACTTTCAGTGGGAAGCTAAGGATCCTTCAGAAAAGATATTGTGGCCTTATTTCCTAGTACCCATCCCCACAGCTGGATATCCTGTAACCCTTTCTACTGTGTGAGTTTTTTTTTTAAATTATGCAAAAGGATGTATCCTAGTTAACGCTGACAACCAAACACTGAATAAAATTATGCATGAATTAGTTTTTCTTATACAGCCAACCAGTTGATTGTTAGGCTCAAGACTTCCAGTTTTGGTATTGCCTTCAGGATCGGGATTGTATGCAGTTTATTATGATGCTTCGCGTGTTGGTCTTGAGTGTGTTGTTGCAAGACGGTAGGGTGATTGTCTATGCGTGTCACGCCAGTTGAAACTTAGGCAGATATCATCAATCCTCAGCTCAAACACGTGTCGCACCCACAAGGACACTAACAACATGTGAGATAACGTTCACGATCCCTTGTGTGGTTTAACTTATCAGAGATGACCTCATATTCTTTTTTCTTGAAAATAAAATCTATTATATAGGGGATTAGGTAAGGGGACGCACATCTACTGTGTATGACGTTGTTATCAATATCTATATATATACATACCACTATGCAGCTTGCCATATGATTCTATCAAATTTTAAAAAAACTGGTCTTTTAAAATGTCCCATTACCAATAATCCATAACTAATCCAGTGCAACACCACACAATATTCCAGCCAGTAGGCATAACACCAGCAAGTTGCCCAATGCATTTTGCTCAGGCCCCTGTTGAAACAGAATCCAGTAAGTTCAAAACTTTAAGCAAAGACTAACTAATGAAGAAATTAATGTTTTTGTTTGTGTTTTGTATAGACTTTCGAAGTAAATTTTACCAACCTTGTATCCCTGAGGAGCAACTGTGAGGACACAAACAGTGAGATAACCGTTGGTCAATCCTAGGACGGATACGAGAATTATCATCCATCCCTGATCACCATACTTAGCAGTGAAGTAAAAACAAGGAATGAACAAGAAACGAGATAGTGTTGCGATCATTAGGCCCTTTCGTGATTTTAGCTTGATTTTCTCGATCAGTGGAATGTATCTTGCTATCAGATCTAACATGTTGTAAACTGCTATTAGGACTAAAGCATACCTGAAACAAAAAAACCTTTCCTTTTACTAACATTATTCATTTAGCAGATCAACCCGTTCATATACTCTATGTAATTGAATGTTTCTTGCATGCATGAGTTCTATACAAAGTAATAGTAGTTTCCTTAAAGCGTCGTCTTCTAGTACTCCTTTTGTTACTCAAGTTGTAGTTAAACCAACTTAAGTTTAACTCGAACACCGGTATTTTCTATTTTTGGTGAGACTCCAAGGAACCTAGTTGACTCTGCACGTGCTCAAAATTTATGGATTCTGAATTTACAGCCGAACACAAAGCTCTTCTTAGTTAATGGGTTCGCAATTAAATATTTTTACATATTTAATGGATTTTCTAATACAAATAGAGGGTCTAAACAAAAGCTATAGGGTTCTTCTGAACCCGTACGTCAAACTTTGGCTCCGCCCCTGCATGAAATGGTGTGCTATATAAGATTTCAAGTTTAAAGCATGTTATTCCAATGTACTTACACAAGAATACTACTTCAGATCGAAATAGTTGTGTGTATGTGTTTTTTGTACTCTCTCTGTACATTAGCTTAAAAAGCCTACTCTTTTATGAAAGGAAACAGTTCGAGCGAGAAACTGAAAGGTGTAGCAAAAAATTTAGCAAGAACTGAATGCAGGACATAGCAAACTCGCCAGCTGAGAAGAGACAAGCAAACTTACCATGAGCCTAATTTGTGGGTACCAGTATTCTCGTACAAGAATCCAGGGAAGATTGACAAAGTCAGGACATAAATCAAGAACAAATCCAGGGAAGATTGACAAAGTCAGGACATAAATCAAGAACAAATCCAGGGAAGATTGACAAAGTCAGGACATAAATCAAGAACAAATCCAATAAGTAATCAATGTTCTGAAAGAACAATTGTTTGTTGCTCAGGCGCTCCAATTGTATAGCACTATTAACAGCCTGTTCAGTTGACAAGAGCATATCGAACATTAAGGTCAAGAAATCAGTAACAAAGTTTTTAGTTAAGGATAAGTTATGTACTCTTTTGGTTGCTTCAGTCTGGATGCCTGCTGCAGCTAGGTCCGCTGCAACCGTTTTTGATCCCTCTGCTGCTGCCTTTGTGCGGTAGTACTTAACGATTGGTAGCTTAGGAAAGATGAATGCATACAGAAGAATGCATAGAAATTCAAAGAATGTGGAGATAGCCAGGAATAACACTGGAAAATCAACAACCACAAGATTCTGACTTAGAAAAAAAGATTATCAAATAGAAACTACATAGTGTTCTTTTTTTTCCATCTAACAACAGGATTTCAAATCACGTACTAACTCCTTTGTGAAGACCGTTACTAGACTTTTCAAAAGCTGCTTTAGTCACTAGCCTTAAAGCAGAGGTGAGAGCCCCAGAGGCAACCAAACCAGCTAAGTACGACTGCAAATTCATAACAATCGCAATACAACATTTCGCAAATGTGATTCAAGAAGTATAATAGTAACTTACTAGAAAAAAAAATAGAACTTTGAATCTTACTTGGATAAATTCAGGGCACATGAAGGATAAATCTCCTACCATCCCACCTTCAACAAAAGCATCTGCAACTCCAAAAGCAGCGATTATAGCACATATACCGATATAATTTCCAAGACCACCCTTTCCTGATGTGGCCAAATCCAACTTGCAAGATGTGAAAAGTAAAGTCAAGCCTGGATAAACAAAAATTAGAAAAGAAAAGAAGTGACTAGGAAAATCATTAGAACATACCACTAGGAGCGCGAATGTGGTTAAGAAGAAAAGAGTAAATCCGGCTAGGTTGCGCTTTCTTGTATCAATTCTTGCCTCATTATATGCAAGAATTGCCATTGTTGCCAGCGCAAACGGCTGATAAACGAGGGTAAGAACCCTTGAAGGATGGTATTTCTTCATTGTACATGACAAAATAAAACTAGTTAGCAGATAGCTGAAATTTGAGCCCGTTTTCTTTGAAGAACTAAGAAGCCATTTGGGATTGCATCATTTCAACTTTTCTATGATTATTATACTGTAAAGTAGATATTACTAACCCATCTAACTACAAAAATTTCACTCTTTGCAGGTCATAGGCTCGCAGAAACCCTGGTCTCAACTTTTATTCATACAAAAAGGGCCTAACTCTCCCAATGAAAGTCAATTAACAGAATCAATTCCAACAGCTTACAGTCAAGTGGTACCGGTGGGCAGTGGCAGAGCCAGGAGTTTATACAACGTAATTCAAAAATATACTAAAACATTTAGGATATGAACCCGCAACGCAAAAGTAACCCTTTTGCCACCCTATAGAATCTTCCCTTAATAGTGTATATATAACCAAAAAAAATTGTTTTTAGCCATATTATGCAGCATCATATTTCGCGAATAATCGAATCCCTTGTCCATAACCTAGCTCCACCTAAGATGGTGGTAGTCTCTCATACAATAGGTGTGTGTTCAATTCTCATTGTCCTTCTTCCCCCTTCCCTAAATATAATAAAACAATAACAACCAAGTGTAATCCCACTAGTGTAGTTTGGGGAAGATAGGATGTACGTAGACCTTACTCCTACCCGAAGAAGGTAGAGAGGTTGCTTTCGGAAGACCCTCTGCTCATAAAGGTAGAGAGGAAAGAGTAACACCAAGCAGCAACACCAACAAACCAAAAATAAAAACCGAAGCAAGGGAAACAGTAAGCAATAACAGAAATCTAAAAATAAGAAGATACAAAACTAACACTAAGGGATGCATTAAAACTACTGGAACAAGCAAAGAAACTGCTCAGTTACCTAGCCTACTACCTTAATTCTTGACCCTAAATGTAATAAAAGATTTTTAAAAAAAATGTATTGAAGGATTCAACGAAGATTTTTGCCCTTCTCTCTTCTTTGTACATATTCAAGTTACAAAAACAACAACAAACCCAATATAATTCCACAAGTGTGATATGGAAGGTTAATGTGTACGCAGACCTTACTCTTAAAGGTAGAGATATGTTTCTGATAGACCCAAATGTGTACAAATTAAAACTCTATTGGAGGAATAGATAAAAGGAAAAGATGATTAAAGGGACACTCACTGGAAACAGTGTATAATAGTAATCTCCAATTGTTAGCATACTATTCCAAGCAACAAGTGATCTAAGTCCAAGAATCCAACATACCACCATTCCACTATATTTCCCCTGAAAATTCAGATACATATCTCAGTCAATAACAGCAATTTAAATTGCAATTCCATTAATGGGATTAAAAGTAATAAGAGTAACAGAAATTGAGAGTCTGAAATAAACCTCTAGCCTTGTTGGGCTTGAAATTCTGCTTGAATCAGCAATAGTCATGGCTGAACAAAGTATTTTATAACAACAATTCCAACAAAGACAAAAAACCACTAATTTATTTCTTTCCGTCTAAGCTTTGGTGAGCAGAATTACTAGAACTGTTATACACAAAATATCAAGAAATCATCTACAGCTTAATGGGAATGAAACTAAAAAGATACTCTTGTTTATATCCAAAAGATATTTTCTCAATACAAATGGGAATGTAAAAGGCATTAAACTGAAATTCAGAAGAATAAGGAGGAAGAGGAGGAGGAGGTTGGAGTTGTAAAATATGTGAATATACAATAAAGAATCTAATGTGAAAAACTATGAGATTGCATTATTATTGTACAGTGGACTTATCAACTGCCAGGATTTAAGAAAGATTAGGAGAGTGTGAACACTGGTGTTGACAGCTAAGTATTAAAAGAATGCGAAGTGCAGTTTAGTTAGTAATCTTTTGTGAATTTTCTTAATGTTTTTTTTGGGTCAATCATTAATGATTATAGCGGAGATATCAAAACCTTATAAAACGGCAAAAGTGGTTGGTCCCAGACACTTTTTATTTTTCTAATCTATTAAAAAATCATTTTTTTTATATTTAAAATAAATTTTAGATATTTAATTTTATCCTTAATATCATATATATATATATATATATATATATATATATATATATGATTTATAGCCATAATTTGTGTAAATGCACAAGTTTTAATGGACTGTCTCTTTTTTTTTAAAAACAATTATGTCCAGACAAACAATAAAAAGTCAAACAATCAAAAGGACAGAGTATGCATAATGTGTGGCATTATTTTGAAAATGTCAGTATAATAGATTTAATATAATATATGAAGATAGTTGAGGCTAACATGTATATAATTTCTTTTTTTTAAATCACATTGCATATTGATTATTAAAATTTTTCTACACAATTAGAAGCTCATCTCTCTTAATTCATGGTGTTATGTTCAGATTACTGAGTGTACTTCTTTTTTTAAAAAAACAAAAACTCCTTTCGTCGAGTCAAATTGTCAAATTACTTAAAAGTGTTAATAGTTAAATGGCTATCAGTTGACAGTTAGGACTTCCTCTTAATCTGGACAAAAATATTAAAGGGTTATTTTAACATTTTAGATTAGTACTTTAGAAGTACTAATTTTAGAATATGAGATGAAACTATTTGTAATTTTAATTTCTTTTATTACAGAAAAGACTAAATTAGGAGGCTACGGTGGATGTTATACC